CCTATTACTTTGTTATGAAATTTTTACTTTTTTCCATAAAGTAAGAAAAGAAGAGCTAACAATTTTAGCAGTATTGGTCTTTGATCCATTCCAGTTAAATTTTGTATTGGTGTCAAATAAGGATCCAAACTTGTTATTTAGCATGTGGATACAGTTTTTCCAGTATTATTTGCTAAAAAGTCAGTGCTTTCCTCAATGAATTGCACTGTTACCCTTGTCAAAATGAATTGACTAAATACATGATTATTTTGAGGCTCTGCTCTGTTTTCTGTTCCATTGGTCTAGATATTTGTCCTTTTGCCCGTATCATACTGCTTTTTAAGTTACTGTACCTTTGTAATTGGTATCAAAGTCAGGATGTGTAAGTTCTTCAACTTTTTCTTTTTTTTTTTTTTTTAAGACTTTTTGGCTATTTAGGGCCCACTTGAATTCCACATGAATTAGGGACTTTTCACCTATTAAATAAATCACATTGGAATTTTAATAGAGAAGACTCTGAATATGCAAATTACTTTGGAAAGTGTTGACACTAACAATGTTGAGTATTTATATCCATATGTATAGGCTCTTTTAGGTATTCATTATTTCAGCATTATATTTTAGTTTTCACTACACAGTATTCTATGCTTTATCTGTAATGGATATATTCCAAGACCCTCAATGGTTTCTAGACCAAAACAGACATATAATGTTTTCTTCTATACATGACTATGACACGGTTTAATTTATAAATTAGGCATTGTAAAAGATTAACAATAATAACAAAACAGAATAATCACAACGCTATACTATAATAAAATTTTCAGCAGCACAATTCTTATATTTTGGGGGTCCTTGTTACATAAAATAAGGTTTCTTTGAACAAAAGCACTGCAATACCACAAAAGTTGATTTGAAAGCCAAGATGGTTACTAAGTGACTAATGGAGAGATATCATATGTAGCATGACTATGTCCCCATTTTATGTTATTATGTCACAATTTTATGATTTTAGTATTTGAAATCTTTTTCTTTCTTGTTCAATCTAGCTATCAATTTTGTTGCTTTTTAAATAATCAACCTGCAGTTTCATCAATTTTCTCCACTTTATTTATTTCTGCTAATTTTTATTAATTCCTTTCTGTAAGCTTCAGACTTAGTTTGGTCTTCCTTGTCTAGTTTCTTAAGGACTAAGTTTAGATTATCATTTGAGACCCTTTACATAATGTTGACTAGTATAGCTTTATTTCTTGTAAGCACCATTTTCCCTGGACATAGTGCCATTTTTTTTTTGCTGTGCCTTCATTTTTATTAATCTCTAAGTGTTTTCTAATTTCCCTTGTAACTTCCTCTTTGACTCACTGATCATTTGTAAGTGTGTTGTTTAATTTTTATGTTTCTGGATTTCAGTTTTTCTGGTACTAATTTTTAGCTTCATTCCATGTGGGTTTTTTTGTTTTGTTTTGTTTTTGGGTATTGAGGATCAAATTTGCAACCTCACACTAGCCAGGCAGGCGCTTATACTGCTGAGCTAAATCTCTGGTCCTTCATTCCATTGTGACTGGGAAATTACACTGTGCATGATGTCAGTCTTTTAAAATGTATCAAAACTTGTTTGTGGCTTAACATATGTTCTGTATTGGAGAAGATTCTACATACACTTAAGAAAAATGTGTATTGTGAGATTTTTGGGGGGAGGGAGAGTGATATTTCATATACATCTATTAAGTCCAATTTGTCTACAGCATTATCCAATGTTTATTTTTCTTATATACAGTTGCATATATTATTGAAAAGGGAATGTTGAAATCTATTATTACTTTGTTGTGCATTTCTGTATTTAGTTCTTTGAATTCTTGCTTCATATTTCGGAGCTGTGATATTTGCTGCATGTTTATAAATACTGCATCTACTTGGGACTTTTTCTTTGCATACTGCAGAAGCCCAAAAGATAACTATAATATTGAAGTAGATATTATGCCATATAATGTCTTGAATATAGAAGATTTCAATAAAGTAAGTTAATGAATGAAGACTGTAGTTTAAAATAAAAAGTAGTATTTGTTCATTTGTGTTTAAACATAGCCATGACAAACCAGACAGCCATGTTACTGCATGTGCTCTCTTATCACAATTTGGAGCCAGGCTTCCACTGAAAAACATACTTGCTGAGGGGCTTTCCACATTTTCTTTGACAAGGGGTGGTACCTGTTCAGCTTAAACACAGAAGAAATCATGGATATTTGAGGGAAAGAATGAAAGGGGCCTTGTAAGAACTCAACCCAACATAGACTTCAGCATTTGAATGTCACCTGAGTGTAACAGTGATTTGACTTTCAATATTGCACATTATAGAAAGGGATCATAATCGTTTTGTTTCAGCAGATTTTTTTTTTTTACTTTGAAACAGATTTTTGAAGATTTAATCAGCTCTCCATTATCCAAAGTAATACACTAATGGCTAATAGCAGTGAAAATAATCTGAAAGAGTGAATTACAAAATCATCAATACCTGGTTTGAAGCTACATTTCCTCAAATTTAGAATGCCATTTTTTCATTGTAATGTAACTGAAAATGAGATAAGTATAATGATCAACTAGCAACATTTTCAAAATATTTATGGTGCTATATATTTAAGGAAATATGGATATGTCCAAATAGAAATAACAGGTTTAAAAAATATTCCTACAAATATTATGAACAGTAGTCTCTCTAAAAGCTTCAGTAGCTCATCATTTCCTATAGAATAAAAACTCCTTAGAATGATATAATGCTTCCAGGATTATGATAGATGGACTAGGAGAGTTGGGTATTAGCTCAAACTGTGTGTTTGAGCTCAAACTCGACATCCATTCCTAACTTAACACTGACTTCACAACACAGGATGAAATAATTTGTCTATTTTTCTTGAACTAATTACTTGGCTATTTGAAGTTCTTGTTTAGGTTTATACAGAAGTCTTCTGATGGGGTTCTAAGAAAACATTTCATTTTTAATTAAAGGGTATTGGAAGCATCTTTTGCATATTTTGATCTGCCTCTTCCTAGTTTGAATGCATATGTCCTCCCCAAAAATAAAGGAGTCATCTTGTGACATGAAGTGACAAACCAGCATGCCATTGAAACCAGAAAATTCTAGTTTCTTGACAGCAATGATTTATTGTACCAACCCTGTACTGACTAACAGCCAAGTTTTAGATAATTGTTTAAGCTATTGTGAACCGGTTTAATCTCAAACAGAATACAGTGTAGAGAAAGAAAGATGGATATCAATAAGTAAACTACTGAGAGAAACCAAGTGATTATAAGATCTTGACACAGAACAATAATAAATTAGATGAGGTAAAATCAATTTGAGAAATTAGGAATAATGACAAAGAAGTAGACACAATTTAGTTTTAGGCATAGTGACATAGAAATATCAAAGAGATGTTAGATAGGTATAACTAATAATTAGATAAATAAGTCTGCATCAACAGAGAAATAAGGAAGCTAGAAATATGAATAATGACATATGACAGCTAAAGTCAGTGAAGTTGATTAAATAAAAATAAGACAATATACAAAATATAACGCAGATCAAAAGTGATGCATGCTGAAAAGACTCACCACTTAAGGAATTCAATGAAAGAAAAAAGGAAAAAACAAACAAACCAAATAAAAAAACCAAAAAAGCAGTAATAACAGAAAGTAAGGAGAGGAAAGAGTTCCATGGAAGCACTGATGACAAGTTGATAACTACATGAAGATTCAAAGAGGTGTAGATGCCAAGGTATTGTAAGTCAAACAAAACTGAAAGACAAGGGCATTCGTTTTTAAAGAAACTTTGAAGACACAGGAGGAAATTCAAGAGAGAAGCGAGATTGAGGAAAGACACAAAGTTAAGGAAAATTTTTGTCTTTTGTTATTTTTGCTTTTGTACAAAGAGCTGAAATATCTTAGTGGGTTTAGGAAACAAGTGAAAAGAGAAAGATGAGATTAACAGGGTGGGAGATGACTAAAAAAGAAGGAATGTGAAAAGATAATAAACAGAAAAATTAACCTTAAGAAAGGGGGATGTATGGCTGAAAAAAGATAAGTCTAGAGTCAAAAAGCAAATTGTTGTAGGTGACCACTGTTGTTGTCAGGGTTTACAAGGGAACAGATTTAATATAGGACACATAATTTATAGAATTATTTTATATTACTCACTCAAAGAGTCAAATACAAAAAAAGAGTACAGGAGTTCTGTCCACACACTAGATACCCAAAGAATCCAGCTAAGAAACTGAATCCCACATTAATGTACTGTATGAGTCCAGCTGAAGAACTACATGCATGGCAATGTCCTCCAAGAGTCCAACTAGAGGCCGACAGCCCATGACAATGTCTCATGCAAGTCTGTATCAAGCATCTGTACTGGGAAGGCCCAAAGATCAGTAGTGGAAGCTACAAAGTCTGCACCAGCAGGATGAAGGATCTGTGCTACCAGGCTGAAGGGTCTGCACTGGAGCCAGGAAGCGAGGCTCAAGATAAGGAATTGAGCTCCCCTGAAAAGAACTGCAGCCATCCTCAGTGATAGTGAGGACCTGAGCTCCTGCACTGCTAACAACAACTGAATTCAAATCATGAAAGCCAACATGACAAGACCTTCCAGGAGAATTAATAGCACCATCTTCCCATCTAATTCTCTTTTGATGCTATTGGCAACAATCCTCAGCTGGGCCTTCCACACCCAAAACCATACTGATTCAGTTTACCTGAGTGTTACAAGTTGACCATTAGTTAATCCATCACAGTCACTGATGCAATAATTGTACTAGATAAAACAGGAAGCAATGCCAACTTTGACAGGTGTGAGACTTGAGAAGAATAAAGGCTTTCCAATAACTGTTCTGGGGAATAGAATAATAAACTTCCCAGGAACTAGTTGAAAGATTACTGACTAGCACTAGAAGCCCATGCCACATACTGTAGGTCTTCTTAGAGTTTTTTTTTAGGTATTTAAGAGGAATTAACATTAATAAAACAAAACAACCAAGTCATAACATATAGGTATTTTATTCCAACTCAGAGAAATGGGGGAAAAAGGAACATATCCTGCACCACACACTGTTTTCATTTAACTGCAAATTTAAAGCACATAAAAGTGTATGAAAATATGTACTATATGTGTGTGTGTGTGTGTGTGTGTGTGTGTGTATGTAAGCATATATATACAAATTTCAGTCTCCTTGGTGTTTGTCATTACTTTTTTTGGATTCTAATAAATGTCATTAAAAGCCATCAAATGTGACCTGATACTTCAACCTGTGTCACTTAATCAATTTTGTAATATTTTTATCTTGTATTCAGTCAGTGTTAATTACTTACATGATTGGTCAAACTCTACATTGGAAGATGTCAAAGAAAAACAATTTAAATTATACAGTGTATGTCAGTTACCCACTGCACGAATTTTTCATCATCACTTGCAACTTCACACATATTGTAGTTCTTTATACAGTCTACTTTAGCTTCTAGTGCTGTACATGTCTTCATCTTCTGGACAAGACTGCCCATGATCCATGAGTTTAGGGTCAGGCATAAATGGGGTAGTACCTGATAAATATTAAGTAGAAAAAAAACAGTCATTTAACAAAATTTTTGTACTAGGATACAGACGTGAAAAAGTCATAAAATAACTGCCAATATGGGTCCAATATTCAAGCTATGTGAGACAGTAATTTGCATAAAATATATATTAGATCAGATGTGGTAAACACTATGCAGAACAGTAAAGCAGCAGGAAGCATGCAGAGTTCTGGGATGACTTGCAATTTTAAACAGGGTGGGTAGGGAAAACCTTCCCACCATATTTAAAATTGCAAGTCACTTCTGGAAATGTCATATTTGAGGGAAGATTTATTGAGGGATCTCTTTTCCTCTAAAAGAATGAGTTATCACAAAACTCTTCTTGAAACTGAAGAAGAGACGTTATGACACTTTCTATCGCAATTTATTTCGTGTCTAGGCTGGGGATTTAGACCAGCAGCATAAGCGCTGGCCTGGCAAGTGTGAGGTTGTGAATTCCATCCCTGGTACCAAAAAACAAAAACAAAAACAAAAACAAAAAACAAAAGTCATCCAGCAACTTATCTTGTGTCTGTTCTCTAACAAAAATTTATTTTTTGCATAAAGATCTTCAGCAATATTTAATATAGCAGGTATTACAACAAACTGGAAAAAATCAAAGATGTTTAAAATTTAACGATTTTTTTTTCAGTCACTCATTATGTACATTCTATTCTTTAATAGTTCTCACATTATTCAAACAAGTTAAGTAGAAAGCATGAGACAGATCATTAAATTACAAAGTGAAGTTATGACTGTTAGAAATTTTACTTTTTTTCTTTAAATCAGGATGATATTTAACATTCAGCTTCTTAATAATTTAAAATGAAAGTATTAAAGATACTAATCAAGGTAAACTACTTTCTAATATTTGTCCTATATATTAAGTATAATTGATACAGAAATGTTTAAATGAAAAAATCATTAAAGTAAAATTTTCACCAATCTCCCTCTAAATAATATGCTTCTCTTTAAATACAATTATTCTACCATTCTTGCCACTTTCAGAAGCAGTTCTGAAAGTCCTAATTCATGAGTATCTTTACTTGTGCTGCCATGACTGCCTGAATGTCCTGATTCAATTTTTTTATTTTTAATTTTATTTATGGAGAAAAAGAAAAAAAAAAAACAGAAAAAGAGTACAAGTTATACAGAATTTCCAAAAAATAAATAAAAAGTAGGAAATCACTAGTTAATAGATTACATGTGGTCATCTTAGAAATAGTTGTTCAAGTTACAAAATTAAAGCATATAAAGTGGACATTCAAACAGTGACACTGCAAACAGTTCTGTGCAATGATCCAACACAACCTCAGTAATAGGGATATTCATCTTATACACTTGAATATTCATGCAGTTATATCCTTTAGAACACTTTCTTTTCCTCTTTTTTACAATGACAATTACATATTTTGAGTTTTTATTACTCCCACAGTTCTTATTACTTTTTTTCAGAGAAAAAAAAATGTAACATAACAAAACAGAGTCAGCCCAATCAAAAGTATAGATATTATGTACTATATCTATATAGTACATAATGTAAAACAGAATACAAGGTGATCAACAATGGTTACCATAATGCCTCTTGCTATCCTAAAAAGAATTGCCTATATAATCAGCTATAATAAAATTGAACAAAACAGTACATAACAAAACCAATAAAATCAAAACATTGGAGACATTACAGGACTTCAAAAAAAGATAATAGTCAAAACAGAATGGGCATCATAGTGAATCTTATTATCTTCACTTTTGTTGCCTATACTCTCAAACTTGGTACTATCAAGCAAAACAGAATACAGTAAAATCAGTCAAAACAATATGGTGAGAGCAATACAGGGTAAAATCAAAGTGGGTTACTATAATATATCCTCCTATTTTTATTGAATTTTCCCTTAATTAAAAAGATAAAAAAAAACTAATAAAAAAGGAGATCGAGATAAAAGAGGACATAGCAACAAAACAGCACAGGTCAGAATATTACCATTTAAGCAAAATAGTGTTTCACCACAAGATATCCCAACATAAAAGTAGTTATCATAGTGTCTCTTTCCTTGAAATCTTTGCGTATACCTTCGTGTACTGTAGCATCAAATATATCAAGACAATGTAAAACCATTCAAGAGAATGACAGCATTACAGGGTATTTAGAACCAACAGAAAATAAACCATGGTCTCTGTACTATCTCCTTGTCTATAAAAGTTTTCATTTATATTATCACATATAATAAAATCCAACAAGACAACATGTTAAGACCGATGGAGACAGAAGAAAAAAAATTTTGATAGGACAGCAAAACAAGATATTAAACCATCACTAGCTATTATGATGTCTTGTTTTCTCCTAAATAGCTGTTGATACCATTCAACAGTCTCTGCCTCATTTCTGTTGAGCTCTTTTTCTGTCATTAGTTGTCAGTTTGTCTTCTCCTTTTTGCTTTCTGCTCCATTCATTATGGCTTCTCTGCTACTATTTCTGGAATCTTGGTATTTTTATCTTTTACAAAGTCCTGCAGTATTCTCTGTAGAGTTGAGTTGGTGGTTGCAAATTTCCCTAGTTCCTCTTTATCCTGGAAGCACCTTGTTTCTCCATTAATCGCTTGGGACGGTTGTGTAGGATGTATCAATCTTGGCTGGAGGTTATTGTCTTCAAAGCTTGAATTATTTTGCCCCACGCTCTTTGTGATTTGATGGTTTGTGCCAAGAAGTCTGCCGTAATTCTGATGTGTGTTCCCTTGTAAGTGATCTGTTTCTTGTCTCTGACAGCTTTTAATATTCTGTGCGTATACTGGATTTCTGGAATTTTGATTATTATATGCCTGGGTGTAGTTCTGTTTGGGTTGTAGGTGGCTGGGGTCCTATATGCCCCAAAGATCTGAATATCTTTACCTTTTCCCATATTAGGGAAGTTCTCCTTGATTATTTCTGGGAATAGCCTTTGCAGTTCTTTTGTTTGTATCCCTGCTTCTTCCTTTACATTCTTAATTCTTAAGTTATAGATCCTCTTATCATCTTCTAGCCTTTGTATTGGTACTGCGTATTTCCTTGTTATTTTTAAGAAGTTTTTCCTTTCATGCCCCAACATTACAAACTTGTCCTCCAGTTCAAATAATGTATCCTTAGTTTCTTTCACGTTGTTATGCCAGCTTTTGATAGAGTTTTTACCTTCCTGGTAATCTCTTTGAACCTGCTTCACTTATTCTACATTTTTTCTATTTTCAGCGTCACAAGCAATTGTCCCCTTTTTTTCTGTTCTTACATTCCACCATCTGTTTTTTCTTGGGAGGTGCTTAGCATTTCTGTAACTATTCTACTTATATCTTGCCTTACTTGGTTAAATACTTCACTTTTGAACTCGTCTATGAAGCCCCAGAGATATCACTTTGTGTCTATTGGTGCCATGCCTGACATTGCATGTTTTGCATTTACCTTTACTGGATCAGTGTTCTCAGGATTGGAGACTGAGGACCCTTTCTTGTTGCTTCCTCTTCCCATACTTTTTTTCTTTCCATACAAGCATATACAGGAGGCCCAGTTTCTTTCTTTGTTGGTTACAGTTTATTTGAATCACCCTGGCTAGGTGTTCCCGCCCACTGCAGTGTACTAGGAAGACACAGACCTGGGCAGCCTATGCTGGGTCCGCTCCTCCAGGTCAGTCAACCTGCTGAAGGCTTCACTGAGTTAGGGTGCACTGCCAGGTGCAGGGACCTGGTTTGGGCTAGCCTACTGCATCTTAGTCTGTGGTATCACCCAGGTGTAAGCATTCCCCACCAATCCCACTCGAGAGGGGAATATGTGACTGAAATCACTGCAGTGTCCTGTTCCAGCTAGTCTACCCAATCCCAGAATGTGCTCTGTTGGAGTCTCCTAGTCTATGGAAGGGTCTCCATTCCTCTCACTCACTGCAGGTCAATGCAGGGCTCCCTGCCAGCTCTGCTCTACATTTGGTTTGCCGATTCCCGCTCTCAGAGCTTTCACATCTCTATCCCTACTGTGCTGATTCAGATGCAGCAGCAGTGGCAGGAAATTCAAGCCATGGTTTCCAGAGGCACGGGTTCCAGCTTGGACACTGAGACTTTAGCTGTTCCAGTTGTAGCACCTGGATTGCATTTCCAGTTGGTTTCTCTCAGTTTTCTTAGTTTTTTCCTGGGTCGGCAAGGTATATCTCCCCCTGCTCAGGACTCCCCACACTGCACTATTCCTGGAATCCAAGCTGGCTATCTCAGAGATCCTCCATAGCTGCTGTTACCTATCTGCCATGTTCTTCCGGAAGTCCTGTTTCTCAAAGGTTTCATTGCACAGTTTTTTAAGGGTCTCCTAGTGTCCTTTCTATACAGGATGTAGGTAGTAGAGATCACAGCAAGCAGCCCATCCAGCTAGGGTCCTCTCTCTAATGTGCTAGGAGCAAGCATTTTGGCACCATGACACCAGAAGAGCCCTCCTCCTGATTCAATTTAAAATGCTTACCTTTCATGATTATTTTGACTCATGGGAAGAGCTAGAATTTGCATGGCTCTAAATGCAGAAAATAAGGTGAATACTGACATGCTTTAATTTTTTACAAACCTGCTTTTCCATTGGATGGCATTAAAAGGACTTCCAGAACTACTTCAGAAAGTGGTAAAAGGGATGTGTTCATAGTATTAGTTATTGAAAAAGAACAGTTAATACTCATATGTTTAGATCCAGTTTGTATGTCTATATTTGTTAATCTAAGCACCCTTAAGTAACTAAGCAATACTACAATCATTGTCAAATTCCTATCATCTTCTTTTATAGACCTATGGTGTAACTGTACTTGGTTTCTTGATGTTGTTTGTATGGCTTTTGATTTTCTTTTTTGTGTCTTTTTAATCTTAAATTTAAAAAAAATTAAAAATGTGTAGAAAGTTTATTTAGGGGGGATTGCAACAATGTGTAGTTCACTGCAATAAAATTTTTTGAGACAGACACATTTTGTAATTCAGGTTGGCCTTGAGTTCACTATG